TCACATTTTGTTTTCCTTTTTCGTCACGAGACAGAATCATTTGCCAAAATTTAGCCGTTTAAAATGTTTAAAAATTCAATCGGTGTGTTCTAAAAGCTCTGCCCTACTACCTTTTCTTTTTGAAATGGTTAAAATCTACGATTTATGAAGCTACCAATATAAACGGTCGGAGTTTGCTCAACAGACCAATTTGCATAGTTTTGCGGTCATACTAGCAAAATCGCCAAAGTTTGAAGTCACGACGGGGAAGGAAATTAATAAGTGCGAGATGTGCAAGATGTTTTCTACATTACTATGCTTTCGAACATCTTATTAGAAGAAATCAACCGGAGTTTTCAATTGTCTGGTCTGGACTTCAGAAATATCACCCAAGAAAGAAAGAGTACTTCAGAAAGCTGTCTAACGGGTGTTTTTAAATAGATTATGGCGGACTTCTGAACAAACGCACATCAAAATTGAAAATCTTTCCAAGCCCCTTATATATCACACGATTTAGGAATATAAACAATTTCTTGCTGCATGCGGTGTGTTACGGGGAGTGAACTTGTAAACTTTTGAAATTTTTCGATGTTGCAGGAGGTCAAATAAGGGCCTTTTACAGCTTTGATTACTGAGAGCTCTCAGAATTTCCTTTGACGTATTTCCAGAAACCAGTGTAGTTTTATTTACTTGCTACCAAAGATAGTTTGATAGGCAAAGTTTAAGGCAAAACCTTTTTCCGATGCGAAACGCCTTGGACCGCTCTTACAGAGATCACCACTTAAAAGAAAAACCTCAAATTGCTATAATCGTAAATCCACAGATAAATACTGGACTTTGTCATTATGTTATATCTGTCAGTACAACTTCGGTTGTTGGTAACAATAAACGGGAGTTGAAAGTAATGAAATCTTTCAAATATAAATTTTCTTCAGACAGTCACAGAGTGCGCGGCGCGGCACTATTTACAATAATTTTATTTTCTGCGCAAATTTTGTCGAGATTTTTATAGAATTGAGGCAATTTTTGACATACTTTCAAAATGTAACTGCACACAATCCTGGCCGAGAACTGGAATTTTGAACGATTTTCCTTATCCATCCAAGAATTTCTTGCATATACAAACAGAAAGTGAATGCTTACGCAAAAAAATAAATACCCAGCAGCGCACGGCTCAAAATTAGGTCTTAAGACCTTATTACTCCCTCTGAATCTCCAAAACTAAGAACTACGACAAATCAAGAAATACTTAAAAATAAACTAATAGTTTTGTTCTGTGAAAGCTCCGGCAGTAAATGTAAGTTTAAGGGTTGTAAAACTTACTAAGTAACTTGTTTTCAAACTTTATTACACCCATTTTGAAACCACTGGTGGTCCCTGTAATCTGATTGGCTCTGATTATTATTATCCGATTTATTCACGAATCGCTCCATTTCTTGCTTTAAATCGCATCTTTTTCCCAGCCAATGAGGAGGCTACACTAACAAAAAAACAACCAACCAGATTTCAAGGCTTGTTTAAAGTAACCGATCAAATTGCAAGAAAATGAAAGACACTCAGTTCAATTACCATTATTAACTCGTTTTGTGTGAGAGTAACAAAAACTCAAATTTACTTCGAAGTGTTCAGTTACACGTACTTCACTCAACTTTTCTTCGTTTATTACTATAGTGGTTAACAATTGCCTACATAGCCTTGCTACGAAATGCAACGTTGGTGACAACTATTACAATATAAAGAGAAGACTTACCTAATCATGGTGTTGTTGTGGCAAAACGAAATGATATAGGCAAAATCAAGTCAATGGTACTCGCAATCGACGCAAAATTTACGGTAACAGTTAGCTTTGTCGAGCATAACTGTTGGCTACCGGTGAAGCTTTTTACGATGACGGGAGGTCATCTAGGTAAAGGCAACATTGGTGACTGCATTGGTAGGAGTAACCGCGAAAAAATACTTAACCCCGTTCCCAAGGTCCTCTCTCTTCCTTGTAGAACCAGAAACAACGTGACGGGCACTTTGCTCTCGTGCACAAATAAATAAATACCACAGGCCCTGACTAAGTGTGGGGAAAGAAAAATCTCAGCAAGTGTCTTTAGGTAGTCAAGAATGGTTCAGAGTTGTAGAGGGGTAAAGTCAGCCCTTCCGTGGTTCTGCTTTAAATCAGAAGTACTTTATTTTAGCAAATTGACGCAAGGGTTCACTCGTCAGGCTAACTGAAGTAAACTCTACTCGAATCAACGCGAATCAGAGAGAGCAAGGGAAATTATCGTGGAAGATGTGCTAAAATGTCAAAGCAGGGAAAATCAACACGTATTCAAGTAAACAAAGGCAGAATAAGGACCACATTCTCTTCAACACCGAATCTGAAAGTCTGCAAAACAAACAAGAATCATGCCTGAATATTGAATCAGGAAAGCATGGAAAACTGCGGTTTGAACGGTCTTTACCACGTACCGCTGGGTCTGTACTTCTGTAAAATAATGCTCTTTCGCTAATTCGCTATTATTCCCCTCAAAATACGGGGGAATAATATTTAGGTGTCTTCATTTATGTGCTTCAAGTAGAAAGAATAACATGTCCTTTACCACCGAGGAGAAAATACCGTTTTTACCGCACTTTTACCTCGGAAAAAATGTTGTATTTCTGTCAAAAGCGACATGACAGTAGCCGTGCTTAAACCATGAAGTAATGTTGTCCTAAACAAAAACAGAAACGCAAGAACAAACATCTGTTTTGGTAACTTCCAGCCGAAATAAATCAGTAGTAGGAATAAGATTATTTTAACCCCAAAAAGAAACCTTCCCAGTATATCTCTGTCCGTGACAATAACTTTAAAAATTATCATTGCGCAAAAAAGGGAAATTCCCTGGGTGTACCATGTCACCAGGAATAAACTCAGTATTCTCTTTGTATTTTAAATTTGTTTCTTAAAAATTCTTTCACTCCCAAGAATTCATTTGAAGTTTTCCTTACTGTCTGCCATACAATTCTTAAGAAGGTAGTTCGGGGAATTTGGGATCAACTAAAAATCCCTTTATTGAAATTTTTCTTCATTCTCACCTCTTATCTGCTTGAGATTGTTTTAATATTGACAGGAGAAATTCTTTCTTGGTTATTCTTGAGAGTTGAGGGATCAACACACGTGGCGCTATGCGCCGGACGTTCTCCTTGAATATTTGTGTGCTTCAATTCTGAGTCGAAAGATCAAAGATAATTTTTTTTATATGATTTAAAAAAAAATAACCTGTTCGGGTTGTCAATCCTTCTCTACCTAGATCGGCTGCAAGTTCACGTATCTCAACAAAATAACTTGGAGCACTGGGACCAATATTTATTCTGAACAACGATATGTCAGCTGGTTATCTTTTATTCATATTCACCTTATGTGAACCTAGCTTTGAAAATTTTTAATTTCACGTGTTTTTCCTCGCGAAAGATGAGCAAGAAAAAGTTCGATAGCTTTCAGTTATGTGATTTATGTGGAAGACTGGTGTATTCTCGTCAATCAGCTGATCACAGGGCGGTATGTGAAGCAGATTCGTCCAGCGACGATCATAAGTGCGCGTTCATACAAGATGGCATCCTGCACGCTCTTGTTGTGGAGACGAACAACAAAATGTTTTCAGGTTCGTCAGATAGATTTGAGCAAAGGTTAACAGTGATTTTGCTTTAAAGTTTAACCTAGGTGTTTGCAATCCTAGAGTTATGTTAGTTCTGAATTGGAACGACCACGGGTCCAAGGAGAAAATGGGGGTCGTGGGTTTTTTCTAATTGAGGAGGGGTGTTCTGACCGGTATTCCCTCCTAACGGGAAATACTTTTGGTCCTGATCAGTCATCACTCGCCCCAGTCATTCTTAAACCTCAGTGAAAGGATATTTACTTAGGGACAGACTTCCCGAAGGTATCATTGGTTGCTTACAAGAGGTTTAAGTTACATTTGTCATGTATAGTTAACTGTTAACGGAGAAAGAAATTTCTGCCATCAGCGAAAGAACCAATGTGGGATTTAGCACTGATGAAGATAAAGATATAAATCATTTGAGGTCGGTAAATAAAATGGATGAACATATTGAGAAACCTTCCATTTTTAATCACGAGAAAGAAGATGCCATGATAAGCAGCCGAAATGCGTTAGGATCGGCTGTTTTCGTCAGAACCAAAAGACCAAAGTGTTTCCAAAGTCGAATTCTCATTGTGAATCATCGGACGAAGGTGTTCAAAACCGTTTTGGTGTAGAGACTTCTAGAGTGGTACTCGATGAAGATGACAATTGGCAAAATGGCAAAGTACTGTAATACTACAAAACCCATAAGTGGCCAATGATTTCGATAGACTGAATAAAAAGTGGAACTGTCAGACTCAGGGACACTTGATTCCCCAGTAAATGAGCCAAATCCTACACGAACACAGAGAGCTTCATGTGACCGAAATGCAAAGGACTTTCCGGCTTACATGAGGAAAGTGCAAAGGAAGAAGGAGAAAAAGAAAAATGACAAAATAGAAAAAATATTCTTTGTATAATCAATTCTGACAAACAAACTTGTTAATCATCGAAGTGTTTGCTCAACCAATCGGTATTTTGTGGAAGCGTCAAGTGAAAAGGAGAAAACATGGAGTCTTATCTGAGATATAAAGACGCTAAAAAAATTTCTGCTGTCATCCATCGTCACTGGGGCTGAGATTGGGGTGGAGACTGGGCCGAGTTTGCCAAAAAGGAGTTTTAAAGGAATTACCTGACCCGTTCTTGGACATTTATTACCTGACTCATATTTGACTCATCAGAACAAATGAGTTTCTATGCTATCAGATTTATTTCAGTTTTGGCCCAAATTTTTCACAATTTCACATTCTTTTTCAACTCGCAAGTGCTAAATCTGCGTAGTTGTCCAAGAATCTCTTTTTTTATCTCCAAGGAAGGTTTTTAATCTCCAGATTTTGGGTGCAGGAGATCCGGATCAATTCTTTGATACTGGCATCTTTCGCCAGTAAACCCAGAAAGACAATGACAAGCTCTGACCAATTCTCAAGGCGAAACACGTTCCTCCATTCAAACATTGCATTTCTTGATCTTCTTCGGCCGTACAGGCTGAAGGAAGAAAAAAGACATAAACGAAGGAAACGATAATTATTACTTGTGTTATAATGAAGTTTGCTTATCCCTTTATAACGTTCTGTAATGTACTCATGATCCTCTCCCCTCATGGGCAGTTAATTGGCAGTCATTTTTCTATACTATATTGGAGACGACTGATTCCCCCCTCGTCACCCTCTCTCCTACAAATCATATGATTCCCCCCCCCCC